CATTTCTGGCAAAAGATTCTCTATAACACAATTTGCCTCGTCTTTAATTGAATCCGGTGTCAACATTTCTGAATCGCTTGAACTCATTTTTAATATTCAAAGTTGGATTGCTCTGTTTTACTTAAAAGATTATTATTCCTTTTTTATTCCGTCACAGATACATAACAGTTTAGTATCCCGCCAATAAATATGTCGACTTTTTAAATTTAAATATGGAACAGCGTAATGTTGCGGCTTATTCCGCTCAAAGAAGTTTGTGCTAAGTTCACACTGGCTGTTTAGAAAGTCACATGGCCGCAGCATTTTTTTTTTACATAAAATCTTCACACCTGACAGTAGTTCTATTTTTAAAGTTCATTCCGGCCCTTAGGCGGGAAGTAATTTGTATGAGTTTTTCCCTCTCTAGGGAGGGAAGCAGCATTTTCCACCCAACAAACAGATCAAAACAACACCACTTTCCGAGAATGAGAAATGAAAACTAGTTTTTCACGGGTTAATGCACGAAACTTTATTTATTGACGTTTCGCAGCCTTTACATATATATTGTATGTTAGCTATTTTGAATAAGTATAACGCATAATTATGTTCGTAATATGTTAGAATATGCGGCTGTCGTCAGAAATCCCTGGGAAAAAAATATGTTCTTCTGCTAGATAGGCTCTAACACAAATTCGCTTGATGGCTGTATAGAATAGTGTACGGTTTTTTAACCCAGAAAAAAGACATGAATTACGAAATCTTTATTAATCTATAGATATTTATCCACAGAAATAAATCAAGATTTATTTACGCATTGATACCTGTTTCTTTTCATGTTACCTTATTGTCGCTGGTATGATAGATTTGGAAAATCTCAGATTTCGGCGAATCGTGTTAGTTATCTGATACTGTTTTATTGATTTCAGTGACTGTCCACCATATGATGAATGCATATTAAATGATATTGCTATTTTTCTATTTTAATAGATTTTTATTTAATATGCTTAAGTATTTAATTTTAATGCCCCTATGTTTCCATTGTTATTATTATGACTTGTGTATTTTTAATATCATTATACTAATAGGTTCGTGAGGCTCTCTTCTGCACTAGCAACGATTTGGCAGTCTGAAACTTACTGCAGGAACACAGAAAAGATCAGCGAGTTATTTATTTATTTGGGTAAATTCTTCTTACTCAGCCGCTTGTCGTCAGTACCCTGAGTCAAGAGATTAAATAAAATAAAATAAACACTCACACCAATTAGCCTATCCCCAAAGTAAGCACTGTAAGGCTTGTGTTATGGGATACTATGGTAACGGATAGAATACATATATTGTACATATATAAGTATATTTATATAGAAATACATATTAAACATCCATGTCTGGAGTACAAATGCTCGTATTCATCACACAAACATCTGCCCCCACCGGCATTTGAACCCGGGACCTCTCGAGTAGGCGACATCATGAAACCCGGCGTATAAACCACTCGGCCACGGAGGTCGTCGAAGATTCACTATAACCTGTCTCCCATTGCGCTATTTTTGCTTGAAATTGGAACAGTGTATTGACAATACAACATAACGATAGAATATAGAATTTTAGAAATTATAGTTGATAAGCGCATACTTGGATGCACCTCACTTAACAAAATTGGCACTAACGACCGACAGACGCAGCCACCGAAAATGACAAATAGTTAACTTATCTACTTTCTCTGGTATTATCCATTGCGCAACTACACAATGGCATAATAATTAAAGTAAACAAAGGCATATTGAATGCAATAAACTGGCGGTGGAGAATTTTTCGACATGTCTCTTTGTCTCGTTAACGCCAGTCGCCAGTTTTGCTTATTTACGATTATTATGAGACAGGAAAAAGTTAGGCGTACGTATTACGTAAGTTTGACTTCAAAGACTTCCATGGTATGTTGGATGTAAAAAATAATCGAATACGCCCATCATGACACCTGTTACCTTTACCTACACCTACAAAAATAGCCCACAGACACTAGTCGAGAACAACACTTGCAGAGACATGAAAGAACTACTGAGCTGCTTGAGGGAGCAATTTTCTCATTCTTCATTTTTGCATTTCCTCATGCAAAATAGACAAAGTGTCGTGTTGCGGAAAAAAGAAGATACCTACGAAACATTTTATGAAAGAACCGTCATCTTCGAACTATCCTCGTGTATTTTTCGTACCCTTGCATCATCTAGGGTAGCTGGACGTGTTCGCATCCCTGATGCTCCGGGGCATCTTCATCGGGGTGGATCCGTTCGCGGTGTCTGGCGGGTGCGCGGCTATTCGGAAACGGGAGCCGCGACCATACCCGCCCTCCCGGCACGCACTAGGAGGACCGCGGTCCTCATAGTGCGTTTCGGGTGACGGTGTAGGAGTATTGTCTGGTTTTTAGTGGCCCTGTTCAGGGCGTTAGGTAGGGCCTTGTTTATTTCATCCTACCACAGAGCTGGCTGAAATGAATAGGGAGGAGTCCCAAATACGTTCTTCTCGCTTCTCCAGTGGTTGAAGGATGCGTAAAGCATTTCCCAGACACACAAAAAAAAAGGTAGCTGATCAGATTATTAAAAAAAACGATCGTTGGAAAAACTCGAGCGCGTCAAACTAAGGTAAGGTAAATTTTCATGCAACAAAGTTATAATAATCTATCAATTTGAGCATGACTTATAGAAATCCTAAGTCACGGAAATAACAATTAATCTGTGGATTTGTACAAGCCGAAGTTGGCTAATTTTTTTAATAAAGTGTAGTGCATACGGTCACTGAGAACTACCTATTCGGAAAGAGAATGGGCGTGGCAAAAACGGCACTAACATTAAGATTTTTATTTGGCAAACAAACCCAGCAATCTGTATAACGTCTGATACCTACGGATTTGTTTGTTGTTGTTATTTCTTGCGGTTTTTTGTATTTAATCATGTCTAAAAGGGGTAAAACCTTACAATTACGGTAGAAAAGCACTACAGCGCCCTCCAATCTAAATCCCACTCTCTTTCCGCAAAGACTCTATTATTGTTAAGCCTATGAGGGAGGATGTCAACATGAAACCAAAATTATTCTAAGGGATACTCCAGATTCATGTATTATTTCTTTTTCAAAAGTTCAATAATGTCATGAAAAAAAATATCTAATAGGTAGGTAGGTATCATATTTTTTTTGTTGGCGATACCCGTTGATGAAAAGTACCACTGTAGTTTGAATAAGAAGATGTTTCCACTCACGATTAACATTGAAAATATTCATTATTATTTTTCACTAGTGGCCCGCCCTCGCTTCGCTTTGGTGTAGAGCTGTAGTGTAAACTATAGTTTTTGTTCTCAGGCTTGTGCTATAAAGAATGACTTTATTTATATAATTACACGTGTTATTGTGAGTCAACCATAAAAGATAGACATATGCTGTTGCAGGATATTTTTTAGACAATTTTATGTAGAATATTTCCGTCATACATGATTTCTATGTAACCTTAACCAATAAGGCTGCACACGCGACGGAAGCTTAAAAAATGGAGTAACTTCTCCCGTTTTCCCAACATTTCCCTTCACTACTCTGCTGCTATTGATTGTAGCGTGATGAAAAGTATACTATAACCTGCCCAGGAGAATGAAGAATAATTGTACCAAGTTTCGTTAAAATCCGTTGAGTAGTTTTTGTTTCTATAAGGAACATACACACAGACAGACAGACAGACAGACAAAAATTTTACTGACTGCATTGTTGGCATCAGTATCCATCATTAATCACCCCCTGATAGTTATTCTAAAAATATATTTCATGTACAGAATTGAAATCTCTACAGATTTATTATAAGTATAAGTATAGATTATAGGTACTATTTTTATAGGTATACAGAATATAAATTTACCTGTGTGGTTGGATAGGATAGGAGGCACTGGCGACCTGTCGACAGCGTTCTCAAAATAAAGAAAAAGGATTGCAAATTTGAAGTTGGAGCGCCAGATTTTAAAGTAATCCCCACCTGTATTTACGTTTACCGTTGTAAGGGTGCGAAAGTATAAATGAAATTTGCAGGAAACATATCTATGTTTTTAAAATGAATCTTTTATTACATCGCCACACTTTTTTGTCATCTTTTTTATTGCTATGAAAATATTCAACACTTATTAACAAGCAAAGTTGGTTCAGTTCAGTGTTAGAAAGCTCGCCTTCCACGCGGGCGTCCCTGCTTCGATTATTAGCCAAGGAAGGACTTGTGAATGTATGAATTACTGAGTGTCGGAAGCAAAATTACGCACAAGCGTTTATTTTGGATAAAATTTCATCATCAGTTTCATACAAGTCTGAGGACTTTGGTTACGTTGTTTGTGTACAGTTCTTAATTTCATTTGTTTTAATAGTTCGTATTGCAATGGCTGTCATTGTTTGGCAGAAATCCTCAGCTAGGAAATGGTTGCTTCTTCGAATTACCTCAAGTTATATTGTACAGATTTTGACCTTAATTTATCTATAATGACTTCTTGTAAATATAAATATTGGCAAAAAGGTAAATAATATTATAGCTTAGCCAAAATAAATATTAATTTGGCTGTACGATTTTAAAAATCTTTGCTTTCCTTTTTATTGATTGGTCAAAAAGCTTACAAATCAAAGCTTGGAATTCGATACACCATTGGTCAAAATATAATCAAAACAAAATGACTGACATCAGGATGGCCAATGATACTTATGATCTGAAAAAGTATATTTTACAAACCAATGAGAATGCAGCGAGCGAGTCAGTATCAGCCAGACGCGTCTGCGTCTGTGTCTAGAAAATAAAAAGTAATTTGTGTTGGTGAATTCGATAATTTATTGTAATTTATTAACAATAAGTTTTTTCTTAAAAAAAATCAAACTATTAAAATATAAATAAATACTATTTGTTGCAATGGATGATATAGAAAAGCTGAGTTGTAGTAAGTAACTCGACATAACCTTAAACATAAACAACTGCTATTTTATGATTTTTTATAAAAAATATATCTTACTTACAGAGGAAGAATTAGAAAATAGTGATATAGAGCATTCAGCTAATGATGATCACAAAGAACGTGATGAAAAACCAAAGAAGAAGAAGAGGAGACGCCGTGAAATCGATATGGTAGTATGTCTAAAAACTTACTTTCTTACAAAGTCTCACCGTTTCACTTTATTTAACGTGTTATCATTTGATTCCGGCGAAGTTTTGTTACTTTTTTCACGATAGCAGATGGTTACGTTAAGTCAACTTTTCTTAATAGATAAAACTTTCTGATGATGATGATGATGAGACTGATGACGAGGGAATACCGAAGAAACTGATACGTAGATTCAGTCCCGGCCCTAGTCCTAATTCGCCCGCTTCCCATCGCGAGCCCCGAACTTGTGTCCTTAAGGTATGTACCCTACAAACTATGACTGTACAATTCTATTTTAATAAGTGGGTAAACAAATGGTGCCTTCACATGATTATTTGATTCTAAAATTTAAGTTTTTAGATTACTCAAAAGAACAAGTTTTCAGAAGTGTATAAACATACACTTAAAAAACAAATACCTAGGCCCAAGAGATGATACTTCATATTAGCTTAGGTTAGGTTAGTGTTGTGACCATAAAGCGCCAGAAAAAAAAACATTAATAGAGCTTTTCAAGAAAATAATGACAAGTATCACCTCTTGGGTCCAAATTAATCTTACCAACCCTTTGATTTTAGGCTAGTCAAAAACGCCGTCCACTATCTCGCCTTTTAGAACAATTACTTCGTAATTTGGAAAAGAGAGATCCAAATCAATTCTTTGCATGGCCTGTAAATGATAATTTTGCACCAAATTACTCTAACATCATTAAGCGGCCAATGGACTTTTCAACAATTAAACAGAAGATTGATGATAATGAATACAAATCATTGAACTGCTTTATTGTGAGTACATATTTTATTTTCATAATATGTGTACTTTATTGCATAAAAATAAACAGAATAGTGCAGAAAGATTTATTGATTGTAAACAGATATGGGTTAATCAATCACCAATTAGGGCCTTATCATACCAATTGCAAGCATTTTGAGGCGGAACATACACATAGCGATAGACATTGCCATCACTATGTATGTGTATGTATGTCAATTCTGTACAGCCACTTATTTAAGCCTGTACAGTCCTTTCTTTAGGTGACACTGATAGTCTTAAGTGTTTTGCTTATGTTATATCAGTATGAATCAATGTAGCAACTCATAAAAGTATAGGTCTCTTTTCATACATAGGTAGAAAGGAATTTGCATTACTTTATTTTGTTTTCCATACAAAAATTGACAATGACATTCGCATTTGCAAATTTTTCGAATTTGATATTAGCTTGTGCTAAGGTAACTTAAACTCCTTCACTGCGCACCAGCTCCCCTTGAAAACCGCTCGTAATATGTCAGTGTGATCACCCACATAATAAGTACAGAACATGTATAAGGTACTGGTGTGTACTTTTTACAATTTTTTTGTCTGTATACAAAAACAAGAATCCTACTTATATTATAAATCGGAAAGTTTGTATGTTTGTTTCTCAATCACAAAAAAACTTCTGAACGGATTTGGATGAAATTTAGTGTACTTATAGTTTATGGCCAAGATTGAGACATCAGCAAAAATCTAAAGTCAATCCAGACAAGGTTAAAGGAGAACAGTTTTATAAAAATACTTTCTTATCTTTGACAATTTTTCACTTTTAAGATAGCAATTATTTTTTTATAAAGTGTGTATTCACAAAACATGTGTCCAAATCCAAATATGTGCAATATGATTATCTCTTGCTTTGATGAAATTTGCTCTTTAATTTACTCATTTAGTGAAAATGATTTTTTTACCTAAATATTTGTATAAAGAAATTATTTTATGTTGCATTTTTTGTCTGATTACAGAGTGATTTTAAATTAATGTGTAACAACGCTATGAAGTACAATAAGCCCGGTACTGTTTACCACAAAGCTGCGAAGCGTTTACTGCATGCTGGACTCAAGCAACTAACACCACAGAAACTTAGACCTCTGGGCAACATGCTCACCTACATGTATGAGATACCCATTCGAGAACTTGGCTTTGACATTGGAAAGATGGATGTTGTGAGTGTTTGCATTATTTTCTTTAATTTTTATTTTGCAACAAATAAGAAAAACATTTTACTCTCTGATACTGGAGATCAAGTAAAAATTTTAAATTTCAGAGCATACTAATCAGTTTTTCATACAATCTGCTAAATGAAATTCAATTTGTTTCAAATACAAAATACATTTACGGCAATATTGTTGTGACTAAAATAGCAAATTAATTATGTTGTGATACATTGGGGTCGTATCCTCAAATTAAACTATACTTAATGTTTGAATGTCAAAAAAATGTCTGAATATAGCATAGCTATCCAATTTGTTGTCCAGTTATATCCAGTAATCAATTTTGTGATGTATCAGTTGAGCTTGGTTTCAAACACTAAATAAATTGTGTAATTTTGTTGAAGTCTCAAATTTTTAATCATAGTCACTATTCTAAAATAGGCACAGATTCTTAGTCTTAATTTTTAGATCATAATTTTTTAGATGTTTCATGTTGCTTTGAATGTCACCTTCATTATAATTGACAAGAATGTATCTTAAATAAATAATTAATCTCTTTAAAATGATAATTGCTTAATCATCTTTATATTTTGGGTTTCATTTTTTTCACAATTCATTTACTTTTTCAACTCAAAAATATATCATAATGTTTGTGAAGGTAGAAGGTTCCAATAAATTCATCTTAACAGCATTGTCTACCTTTCAAAAAACATTAACCATTGATGCACCTGTCAGTTTCGTATTGATTTGCTTATCGATTACAGCTGCGACTTGCCATTTCGTGCTTTACTAAAGTTTTGAAAAATCACTTTTTACAACGCAGCCACTTAGGACATACGGGCGCAAGGTGATAATTTACAATTATTCATTTAAAATAAAGTTTGTTCCGTAGTGGATTGTTAGAAACTAGTAATTTTATTTTGCTTTCAAATTAATCGATGTTGTTTTGTGAAGTTTTTACAACTAGGGGAATTCGTGACAACTAGTGCCCTAGTGTTTGCATGTAAAGTGATTTGAATGAGTGCGATCATTGAAATATCCCAACTTCTAATAAATAAATGAATTACTAAGAAACAATCGAAAACTAAATTTAAGATATTTGTAAAGAGTTTTTATTAAAAGTTCGATAATCGTACTAAACGTTAGCTATGTAGTGGCCCTGGCTACGGTGCCAGATGAAAATGACCCGTCGGCCTACAGCACAAGGTGTTAAAGCGCACGAGCCCGATGAAGAGCGGCGGCTCCGAGGCGGAGGCGGCGTCGGACGGCGGCCTGGAGCGCCCCGACGGCGACAGCGTCAAGATGCAAATGGAAGCCGCCAGGGAACAGCATAGGAGAAAACTGGCGAAGAAAGGTGAGCGCCATTATATCATAAGCGGGATTTACATTACTTTATTCATATTGTTAAGTCAATGTCTATAGTTCTTTAAGGTAGGGCAATTAGGTAGGGGTATTTTAAGTTAGGGTATGCCCCATAATGCCCCCCTAGCTACGGCCTTAATTTCGGGTCCTCATGCGTATACGGCGACGATACATTGCCCTGCGTAATAAAAAAAAACACTAAACCCAAGCATAGCGCCACCTATCGGGAAGAGTAGTATGTTTAGTTTTCTTAAATTTTCGATTTTTTGCGCTACTCTTTTTTTGCAAGAACCTTCATATTACACAAGAACAGAGTAAGGCTTTACAGGGTAAAAAAAATTAAACAAGATGGATGAAATCACTAGTCATTCTAAGTAAAGATGTGGACAATGGAAACAGTGTTAATTTTTTATATACTTATAGATATTATTGCACATAGAATATTTGAAAAAATATGGAATGTGATATAAAACTGTGTCTAAATGACAATCATCTACCATTTATCTTTTATCACTAATTAATACAAATATCAAAAGACTAATGTCGGTTTAGTTCCGTTGGCCTAGGCACATCTTAGAGTACCCCGACGACGAAATCACCCGCGCCAACGCGCCTCCCGACTCCTCCCACACAGGCCACAAACACCAACACTACACAGCTAGCAAACTTACTAGACACGGCACTACACAAGACACGCTATGCCAGGTACAGGGTACGTACTGGGGCGTTTTTCCCCGCCCCCCACGATAACGGCTAACTAGAGCCGAGGTCCGAGTCTCAGAGACGCCCTCTAGTTGAGCCGACCCCATCAGGTTCCAGTGGTCTAGGGGCTCCAGACTGAGAGGAGACTCCCCCCGTAGGGAGATACCATCCGCCTGGAATACCTCTAGAGGCACTGGCCAATTCTCGGGTTGAGATCCCCTTAGGATCTCGCCAATTCTCGGGTTGATGTCCCCTTAGGATCTCGCCGTCTCCAAACCCGATGCGACCGACGCGGTAAAGGTCACTTGCGACCAACAGCATACACACTCAAAAAAAAAATATAGTTCTTCGATCATGAAGCTGAATTCATTAACATATATTTACAATACAGGGTTCATCCAAATTGCTTTTTTGAACTGTTAACATATTATTTCTCATATCTTTCAGCGTTTCCTCGCATGGATTCTGAGGGCAAGACCACTTTATGTCTGGTGACGAATACCGTGGACGCGACCGCTGAAGACAAGCCGATGACACTGGGCCGGTACATAGGCAAACTGCAGCAGGGAACTGGCACACTCCATAGTGAGTATACATTTTGTTTCAAAATTATCCTGCTGTTGGATTTGTCTGTGATATTTTTAATAGTATTGTTGGCCAAAACAATAGTAGGTTACCAGCCGGCTGTAAAAAAATTCGAATCTGTCAATATTTCCATTGCAAAATTAGTAGGTAGTTGACGTACCTATCTTTTTTTCTTCAGTCCAGGAGAATCAGCTTGTGGGTTCGATATGTGCTAACATACGTTGTTTAGCATGTTAATGTATTTTCGAACCTTTACCGAAAATATTCAATTTTAATTTTAGACTTTACTATAATTATTTGCACAATCACCTGTCGCTATCTTGTGGGTTCCTTATTTGTGAACAACTTGTTTTGCGTTGTTATATTGAATAGTAAATAAAAACTAAATTAATTATAAAGAGGAAGTATGTATTTGTCTTTGTTTGTATTGTAACGAATTAACTCAACTATTATACCAATTTTAGAAATACTTCCACAATAAGGGTCTTCTGGAATGACTGGACGCGCTAACTAGTGACGTAAATTTTTCTTAACACCCTCATTAGAATGCTACATTATTCCTAACATAAAAGTAATGTGTTATAAGTTATCGCGGTAAATAAAGTTCGCCCGAGCAAAGCCGCGGCGGCAAATCGCTAGAATTAAATATTTTTTACGAAAATTATACCTCATATTTTTTATTTCTTAATCATTTAACTGCTCTAGGAAAATTCTAAATCTAAGGAAAATTGTACCACGAAAAAGGTTACATGCTGCCTGGTCTGCATGGATTTTTTTCTAGTAAAAACATTTTTTTAGATTAAAACTTATACCTATCATTTCGCAGCGTCCCGGGAAGACCGCCGCAACTTAGCAAAGGGCGTGAAGCCCTTAAACTACGGCCCTTTCAGCTCGTACGCGCCTTCGTACGACGGAACCTTTGCCACGTTGACCAAGGAGGAGTCGCATCTCATATACCACACCATGCGTTAGTATCCCATTAATCCTACTAATACTATAAGGCTATGCGCGCACTGGTGACTTTTGTCAGCGTGACTGTTTCGTCGCTGTCACCGCATATACGGACCTATGAGACGGTGCGCACACTTGTATACGCAACTCGTGGGGAGGGTTATTATTTAAAATTTGAAGTCCTGACAAAAAGCCGGACATTTTAGTCAAAAAATACAAACATCACCCACTTAGTTACAGTGATATTATACGCGTGGTGGCAGACGCTCGCATGGCGAGGGGAGTCTCGTTGTGGATTTTTAAAGATGATTTCTATTTTGTTTTAAATTAATGAGAATTTAATAAAGATTATTTGACTTATTTAATATAACTTAATAAGTCGTTTAACTCATATTCCATCTAATCAAAAAAAGCCGGACAAAAGTCAAAAAGTCTGGATATGTCAGGACAAATCCGGAGGGATGGTAACCCTACTCGTGTGTAACTTTTTGTCCGCGGGGGGCCGCGACAAGCCCGTGACGCAACTGTCACCGTGGCCAAAGGTTTGAATTGCCGTGCCCGCACTAGTAACTAAAAGTCACCTTGCTCCCTGCTCCTCACGCTTCTATACCTCAGTTAGCTTTCGAACGTCATCGTGTTAACGGCGCCAACGTCAACTCCGGTGCAAAATGCATGTTCGCATGAAGATGATATAGATAATGATCTTAGATTAAAACAAAAATGGAAGATACGGCACTCGCCGCACAAAGGTGATCCGCTTAAATTGTGGTGCATGACCATAATTCGCTTTAGTCACAATTGCACGCTGCATATGCACTCAAAATAACAATATTGCGTATATTCTGTGTTATGAAGATAAAACAATGCCTCGGCAACACTTTTCATTCGTAAAACTGTAAGAACGTGATCTACAATTGATACCGAAGCCAAAAATATAGTTTTTAGAATTTTTGTCTGTATGTATGTCCGGGTCTCAAAAAGTATTGCATGGGACTACTTGAAATTTGACACGAATGTTATTAAGAAGTCGGTCAACATATAGGCTATATATTATCACGAAACTCCACCCCTAAAGTAATACGGGGGTCGGAGGTTTGTATGAAAGTCCTATTTTGAAATAAGAGACTTGAAATTTAACATTTATGCTCTATAGATGGTGTAGAGGTGTACCAATAAGGTATCTTAAGAAATAAACCCCCTTTTGGGGTCAAAAAATATGAGCAAATAACTATCTCCACGCGTACGAAATCGCGGGCGGCCGATAGTGTGTAAGGCCCTTTTCACATGCTCACGGTCACGGCACGGCCGCCATGCCGTGCAACCGTGCTAGCCATGGAGCACCCCCACTAGAGTCCGCATCACACAAATTTTGTTTGGAATCAAAATCGCCAAAGTCGGTGGGGCGCAGGGAGGTCAGCCCCGCTGTGATTGGACGCGTCAAGGTCAGATCATATACTCAGTGCAGCGAAGTGATGAGGGTAAGATCGATTTTAGAAAATATCGATATTTTCTATCGATAAACAATTTAGAATAGAGGCCTAGTACTTTGGTGCGCAAATGCGTAATCATACCCTCTCCACTTTCTTACAGCGTTCTAATTACATGACGCGACTAGTAACTACAAATAATTTAATATGTAAGCAACACAAAAAAAAACACGTCCAGGACAAGAAGTATTAATGCAACGATATTAACTACCCTAGATACAACAACACGAACAAAATCGTGGCCGAAACGTGTCCAAAAGGTACATTGGAGGTCCGTAAGATGATCGCATGGTCAAAAACAATATAATGCCTTATTTAAACATTGAAAGTCACCTTTAATGCATACGGCATAAGGTCTTAATTAAAATGCATGCGTCAAGTTCTTAAAATTTTACGATTTAGTGTTATATGTGAAAGAATATAGACCTTATTTTTTTTTACTTTTCACGCGCAATTCTGAATGCGCTGTTAACAATATAGCAGGTACAGACCGCGAAGAAAAGAGATGGCTAAGGGCGACGTATAACCGACCATGCATTTGAATATCACAAATATTTTAAATTAAATCAGTTTATAGTAAGTATTACAACAATAAAATTTGCTTTAAAGGCGTTAATTAAAAAACATTAATTAGATACCCGTCGAAAAAACGACACTTTACGTACTATTAGTATTTTTGTGCATTTTTTCACGGAACTCTTTGGCATCTTGACTTTTCAACGGTCCGCGTGTGACTGTGTACTAAGAAGTGCTTGAGTGGAGTTCAAGCACTTCTTGATTGGGACCACAGACTATTTAGATATTGGGACACATTTTGAGCGGTCGTGGTGTATCTAGGGTATTTAATATCGTTAATTCTATGTCTTTATCTAGGTCATAAACTATGCGCACTTAATTTCATACAAATCCGTTTAACCGTTTTAGCGTGAAAGAGTAACAAATGTGCATACAAATTTTCGCGTTTTTAAAATTTTATTAGGATATGTTTGACTTCAATCAAATAAAAACTGTTGGTTGTATACTTATGACATCTATTATTGTATACGATGAAATAAATAGTTTTTATTTATTTTTTCCATTTCCATAGCTGACAAACTTATCGACAAACTTACGCGTTGAGACATGAGCTGCGTCTGAGTCACTAGCAATACACTTGCCGGTGTGAGAGCGAGATAGCATATATGATGTAGCCCATGCGAGAAAGGGATAGTGTAAAAAGACATCAACGCGTTCACCAAAAAATAAATACATTAACAGCAATTTAATACAACAGTATTTTTGTCTTTTTGTAATGCATTTAAACTAACCAGTGAAAAGTAATACCATTTTTTTGAAGACTGGAAGTTGTACTGGACTTTCCACACAATTTAATTGCACAGTACGGCATTTTTTACAGTTTTTTAACACGAAAACGAGAGAAGCAGTTCGACCAACGCTCGGTTACCGAATGAAACGATGTATCGCGACGTCTGTAGGCGTGCCTCACGCATAGGTAATATACTACTTAAGCTTGGCGTAAGCGCTTGCCCTTGTATGCGGACTCTAGTGGGGGTGCTCCGTGGTGCTAGCTCTTTCACATGTATACGGCTTACACACGGTCGCCGGCTATGGATGTTGCAGTATTATCGAGAATTTTGGGGAACGACGACGTCTTTTATTAGGAACAAAAAGAGATTCTTTTCATTATCATCTAATTCTTCAAAACTACTATTTAATCGTATACATACTTCTCTCCACGCTTCTTTTGTCTCGTTCCTGTTTTTATAAGACGCGATGGTTTTATCCCATAAAGTAGGACGCGCTTCAACTAGCGAAATCAACACATCAAAATCGATTTCGACAGAGATTCTGCAACAATCGTCCGTCCGTTCCCCTATGACTTTAGCTGGCGAATGGTATTTGCGCTCACCGTGCCGTACCGCGCCCGTGTTCATGTGAACGCGTCTATACAAGTCCATACAAGACTATAAAGACGGTTGTCGCGTCACGGCACGGCATGGCAACCGTGCCGTGTCCGTGTACATGTGAAAAGGCACTAATAGTGACCACTTGGATGGATCATAATAATGTTGAATTAAAGAATTTTTTGAAAATTTTGAAAATTTTGAAAATTGTAAAAATTTTGAAAATCTAAAGAACATTATTTAGTTACATGCTTAAAAAATAAAAATAATCAATTTAAAAAATTTAGATTGGACTTAAAAATTTAGTAATTTTAAGTTTGAGGGTAGATTTTCTTATTAGCAATAAAATGTTTCTTCACATATAAAAATCAAGCTGATATTAAAAATTTTAATGCAATAAAACTACAATAACACTAATTTAGTTAAACTATTTACAGGCCTCATAGAATTCCTAGTCCTCATAGGCCCCCTTTCCCCTCGGGACATCATTGCGAGTGGACGTGTCTTTGTGCTGTAGTAAAGTTGTTAATAAATAATAAATTTAAATAAATTGAAAAAGTGCTGCTGACTTTTTGGAGATCACTGCGTGATTTGAACCTGCGATTAGTGAGTGTTTCCTTGGTTCGTTATCCACTGGGCTACGAAGCGTTGCTTCGCCGCGGCAAAATTTTGCATTGCTATTGAGTTGTGTTTCAACGGCGGGATTAACCTGGACTGAAGACATCACAGATTTTCATACTTTGTGTTGTGATCAATTGAATATCTTTTTTGCGGGGTAATGATGCGACGATCTCCGCCCCCTGTGGCCGTCCCAGCTAACGTACTAACGATACAAGGTAATGATTCTGACACCGCTTCCGAAAACAGTGGGAAAAGTAATTTTGCGATGCGCGCAAAACGCAAGAAGGAGATTGTTGATTGTAGCGAGTTTAACGATTTTAAGACAGAGTTGAGGGCCTCGTTCGCTTCTTTATCAAAGACTGTAGAACAAAGGTTTAGTGATGTAAAGCAACAGTATGAGGAAATGCAGAAAAGTGTCCAATTTATGTCTGATAAATATGATAAAATATTAGAAAGTCTACAAGTTATGGAGCAGGAAAGATTAAACGATAAAAAGTATATTAAGCAACTAGAAGATAAAGTGGACTTTTTCGAAAGAGAAATAAAAGCGACTGGCTTAGAAATACGAAACGTTCCATCAGTCAGTCAAAAAGAGGACAAGCACGAGTCGAAGCAGGAATTGTTAGACATCGTAAAAAACTTAGCGCAATCTGTTAACATAGAACTACAAGATTACGATATCAGGGACATATATCGGGTGTCGTCAAAGAAGGAGTCTGCCAAACCTATTATTGTCGAGCTTAATAGCGTTATATCTAAGGAAAAAATTCTACAGGCAGTTAAGGTATATAATAAGGAAGCGCCTAAAGAATCCAAGCTGAATACAATTAATCTGAAAATACCAGGGACTCAAAGGCCTGTCTTCGTCTCCGAATCTCTTACTATGAAGACACAAAGACTATTTTACCTGGCCCGCGAATTCGCACGTGATAACGAGTTTACCTATTGCTGGACTTCAAAAGGGTACGTGTACCTTCGGAAAGCGGAGAACCTACCGTTTACTCGTATAGACTGCGATGAAGACTTGGCGAAGCTCAGGAGGAAGATTTGACTACTGCTTTACTTCAGGTTTTCGATTAATTTAAGAATTTGTTATCAGGTAGCTTTCTTGTATTTTTTTTTCTTTATTTGTCATGTACGGTTTGAGTTTTGCTGCATCTGGAGTGGTCTAGCTGGGTGTTGGTTATTTTTTACAGTTTTTTATTATATAGTGTTTGTTGTGATGGTTTTTAAAACGCAGTGCTCTAGAGATGTCAATATGAAAAATTCGATAATAGCAACCTAATTACAACTGCAAATGAAATTGACGATATATCTATCGGCAAATCTTTTATGTTTGATCCAGAGTTTTGTAATACATTGATCACCTCACATGGAGCTGGAGGTTGTCTTAAAGTACTTACGCAAAACATAAGGAGTATAAATAAAAATATAAACGAATTTAAAGTTTTACTGGCTAGATTAAAAATTGATTGCGACATTTACATTTTAACTGAGACATGGAATTCAAAAATTTCTCAATATCCTAAGCTTTCTAACTATGACACTTTCTTTTCTGTAAATAACAAGAATCAGAACGATGGTATCGTGTAGTATATCAAACCTGACCTTAACCTTGTTGTTGAAGAACCAGACTTCAGTGATGCTAGCTGTCTTGTGGTGCGCGTAAAATCAGATACGATAATTATAGCTATTTACAGATCCCCATCAAAAAGAAATATATCTGAGTTCATTGAATCTTTAGACAAACTACTAATTAAGTACAGATCATATAGTAATATAATAATTATGGGGGACATTAATATTGACGTTAAATATGAAAATGAAGATCCTAATTCATCTGAGTACCTAAATTTGCTTGCATCTCATGGTATCTTGAAAGGTCATACCTTTCCTACTAGAGGCAATAATTGCATAGATCACGCTATGATAAAGACAAAATGTCCAGTTATTACTATTGTTTTGAGTGCCCCCCTGACAGACCATTCTGCCGTTTTGACTTGTATTGATGCAAAGCCATTGGTAAAACAGAATGCAAATGTAATTACGAAGAGAGTCAACTATGAGGCCCTTGTAAGTGATATCAAAAAAACTAATTTTAATGACATCTTTGGCTCTCAAGATGCTAACTGGGCAGCTGAGAGGTTTGTGAATACACTCAAATTATGTTAACAATAGAACTATCACTGTTGTTGTTCCTAGAAAAAAACTTTGTCTAAAGCCCTGGATCACACCAGGGTTAATACGCTGCATACAAAATCGCGATAGAATGCACATTAAATGCAAAGCAGATCCCAAAAATGAAATCTTAAAAATCACTTATAAAAGATATAGGAACCACTGTAACGACCTATTAAAACGTCTCAAAAAAATATATGAGCAAGATGAACTCAGAAAGCATTCTAAAAACCCGAAGAAAATTTGGTCAGCTATTAAAAATATCGTGTATCTAAATAAAGATAAATCAGTTTCTGGTAATTTAATGAGAATTGCAGATACTCCTCAAAATTCAGTGGATTATGTAAGCGATTTCTTTGCAGACATAGGTAAAAATCTGGCCAACAAAATTAATGCATGTGAGCTCAAAGACACTAATTTCGCATACTCTAAGGTACCTACAATTTCCAATTCCATGGCTCTGGTTGAGGCAACCTATGATGAAATTACAGCCCTCATTCGTAATATGAAGGACGATTGTGCGATTGGATTTGATGGCATATCCAATAAACTCCTAAAGCTTGCTTTGGAATACGTCGTGCCTCCAATCACACATATTGTCAACCTGTGTTTGCGGACGGGGGTGTTTCCACGAGTGTTCAAAATATCGATCATTCACCCAGTACATAAAAATGGTAATAGGGACTCTGTCGACAATTACCGTCCAATATCAGTCTTGTCGGCTCTGTCTAAGATATTAGAGAAGATCATGAATAAAAGATTATTATCGTTTCTAAATAAACATAACCTAATATCCAACAACCAATTTGGATTTAGAGCAGGCAAGTCAACCGCTGATGCAGTGATCGGACTCTCAAATCACGTGGCTCAATATTTGGATAGTAAAAACAGATGCGTAGGAGTATTCTTAGACCTCGCAAAGGCTTTCGACACAGTCTCTGTACCACTACTATTGTCAAAAATGGAAAGGATGGGCATTCGTGGTTTGGCTCATGAGCTTTTCACTAGCTATTTATCTCTAAGGACTCAAAGAGAGATTGGAGAGCATATTTCTGGAGACTCGTCTGTCACTTATGGTGTGCCTCAAGGCAGTGTCATTGGTCCTAGCCTCTTCCTTATTTACATCAACGATTTTTGTAACTTACAGTTGAAAAATTGTAATATTTTTACTTTCGCTGATGATACAGCATTAATATTTCATGGCAAAACTTGGGAGGATGCCAGAACTGTGGCTGAGCGCGGTCTTCGGATTGCTATGAAATGGCTGCAAACTAATATACTTACTTTGAACACGACAAAGACCAAAATAATAACTTTTGGAAAATCAAAGAGAGAAATTCCTAATACTGAATTCACAATAAAAGCTCATGAATGTGACTTAAACAGTGCGTCTATATGTCAGTGTGCTGTTCTGGAACGAATTGCTTGTATAAAATATCTTGGTGTCCTTGTTGATCAAACTCTGACGTGGAAACCTCAAATCGACATGATCTCAGAGAGAACCCGAAAACTTATGTATATTTTTAAATCACTTCGTCATATAGCAGATAAAAAACTTATCCAGACTATTTATTTTGCCTTAGCACAGTCCATATTGTCGTATTGCCTTGTAGCATGGGGTGGAGCAAACAAAACCCACATGATCACGGTCGAAAGAGCTCAACGTGCTTTGCTTAAGGTTATAGCGTTTAAGCCACGTGGATATCCTACGCGTGAACTGTATGCTGAGTCTGATGTGTTGACAGTAAGACAATTATTTGTGCTTTATTCCATCCTTGCACAACACAAAAACCTCGTATACGCACCACATATAGCGGCCACGCGTAGAAAGTACAAAGTCTGCCTAGAAAGTGTTTTTAGAACCAAGTTTGTCTATAAATTCCAATGTTTTCTCGGACCTTTCTTATATAACAAGATAAATAAAATTGTAAATATTTACTCATTAAATTATTATAAATGCAAAATCATAATTACAGATTGGCTGAAATCACTATCATATGAAGAAGTTGAACATTTATTCCATATTGTTAGATAAATTATAGTTTATATTCTTCTTTAGTATAGTTTCAATTTAATCAAAATGTCACCAGAAATTCTTGCAGAATCTACAAGCACAAAATTAAAAATATTAGAGTTGAAATCTTTTCAATATTAATTTAGTGAAAAAGGAAGGATCTAGTACCTATTTTACAGGCTCGGCCTAGTTTAGGTACTAGTGTATTGTAAGTGCTATTTTATTGTGTTTTTAGTTTTAAATAGTATTGTCGCTTCTATTAAGCATTAAGAAAACTATTGTTAAGTTTAAACTATGTAAAAATGTTGGGGCAAATAAATAAATTTATTATTATTATTATTATTATAATTATAATTAAAATACCTTTTAAGTTTAATTAAAAATTATATTGTCACTTCACTATCATTGAAATAAGACAACATATAACTTAATCATGCGTTTAATTTTATTGACGTCTCTAAGTACAGCTTTTAATCTATTCAATAGACGCAGAGACGGGGCAGGGTAACGAGGAGATGCTCCGCTTCGCCCCCGACTCTCCCTGGAATCTGATCTATGATATGGAAGCAATGTTCCCAGACAAGAAGAACCAACCGGACCCCGCGCAAAACAAGGATGAATTCGTAAGAAATATCTTCATGTTTTTTCATAAAAAAATGTTGCAAGTGATTGCCCGCGACTTAGTCTGCGTGGAAATATTAGTTTTCCTTACAAACTTTTACTCCCAGAAAGAATGACATCTAGGATAAAAACTAACTCCTATGGCCTCACCCGGGAGTAGAAAATTCTTTATACCAAATTTCATCTAAATCGTTTCAGCGGGTTAAGCGTGAAGAGTTAACAGACAGAAACACAGAAAGACACACTTTCACATTTATATATTGCGGAATAGTGGGTGCTAACGACTGCAGATGAAGTCGGCTCTAGTGCCTTATCATGAATTCAGAAGCACACAGGAGCTTGAGTTAGTAAAATTTTGGTTATCTATCCTATCAACAGCCATTCCAAAGGTTGCTTAACTTGCGCTGAACTAAACTGCTATATTATAACCATAGACATAGTAGGGAATGGACTGAGTTACAATCGCATGATATCGACAACCTTCCAGAAGAACAAAATAGCCAATACCTTTACATTACCCCCGATCATTTCGTCTCTTATAATTTTGATTTATTTTACACTTTTAAAAGGAAATGTTTTTATGCCATTCATTACATCTTTATACAGACATACCGCGAAAGGTGAAGTAAAATTTAAAGCTAATAAAAAGATATGAGCAGCGCCTGAGTCTATTTTTTTACCTGTTTTTTACATAAGTGGTAAACCATCATTTGTCACACAAACAAGTTATACAACAAAATGTTTAAATAGAGCAATTATATCTACGAGTTGACTGAAAGTAAACTGAAACAAATTTCAATAACTTTTGATAGAGCCTCATTGTAAGGTTTAATTCTTCACATTTTACTAAATAAACATATTTTAAAATTCTATCAAATAAAGTTTTACTCATCAATTTGTTTGCATTGCACATTTGTACCAAATCGTATCGATAGATGGCGCTGTAGCGCGTTGAACCACACTATCGTTTTTGCGTTGCAAACTTACTTAAGGATTGGTGTGATGTATCCTGTCTAATCACGCTGAAATATCGATTTTGATGAAATTTTGGTAACTTTTTGAGACCGTTTACCGTCGCAAGATGGTTCATGGCGGTATTATAGAGAAAGAACTGAAATGGGAACTTAATTGGAAGTTTGGCACTTTTAGTTACCGAAATTTGATATTATTTTGCACAAACTAAAACTCCCATACGTAGTATCGTATCCGGTACACTTTTAATAAACATTTTTTGATATTATTTTGCATAAATTAAAATAATCCAAGTAGAAGTGGGTAATTATAGCTTTTTCTCTAAATAAGATCGAAACTATGTATCGATATTCGGTATCGTATTCTGAAATGATATGATATGATATGGTGACGACCATATCAATTCGTTTCATCAGGTAAATTTGAAATAACTCAGTAGGTAATCCACGTATTTAGGGCAGTGTTGTAGTTGATTTCTACGAAAAAAGTTTATGTATAATAATATAATTCGTATTTATAAATGAATCTCTTTACCATTGTTATTATGAATAAATATAAGGAATTCCCCCAAAGTCAAATTAGAGTAGAAATCTTTACAAAAAATAACTGGTTTGCGTTGAGTATTATAGAAAATTAAGGTTTTCCTTCATCAGGATAAGACCCAAAATACATAAGTTATAAATATGACAAGGCCAAAAAGGTTTATGATATCTGAAGTGTCAAGAAATGACAGCTGTCGGAATTCCGTCGAATTTTAAAATCAGACTATATGTAAAAACAAGGTTATTCCCTCGAATCTGCATAGAAATGACCCCCCCCCCCCCCCCCCTCCGTACAAATATTCATTTTCTTTTATAAAGAGTTTAATTTTAAAAATTTTATTTGAGCGAAAATAAAAATCTTGTATAACATTTGATTCAAGGATGAGTTAGTTTATTATATTATTATGTAGTATGTTATTAATAAAAGAACTCGATGGCTCAGTACTTGGAACGTTCAGTTAGCGATAGTGGAATTTGAGCAACTTTCACAATTGCTGGTCATATAATGGATGGGTGATCAAGAACTAAATTTTCTGACCTCCGTGCTTCGTTTCGGAAGACATGTTAAGCCGTTTTGCCGCGGCTGCATCTGCAGTAGTAGCACCCGCCAATAAGATGGATCCAACATAGCTCAATCTTATCATAGGAGGAAGCATCTACTTAAGCAATGGGGAGATCTATACAGTCCCCCATCAAACTCTTTGAAGCGAATTCATTATGCGCTACGTTCAACGAATTAGAAATAAAACCGAACTACGCTAAAAAGTGGTTCCACGCAAACTGAGATCAACAGGTAGGCGGGACGAAAACAATGCAATTAACACGCGGTTTGGAACCGTGCTAAGCGGCCTTTTTAGAGAGACATGATATGGATGCCCATATCATTTGTAAAACCGTACACATGAAAATAAAAGCGACTTGGCTAGGCATCCTAATGATGTAGTATGATTAGTTAAACTGTCATTATCTTTCATCATTTCACAGGACATTTCCAAGATTAAAGTGGAGATAGACCAGTTACGTAGTCTCTCCGACCTCGGCATCGACGTGGAGTTCCTCAACGAAATGGAAGAAGAGATTATTTCCTCGCAACACGACTACGGCATCGGACCCGCGTTGAGGCACACCTACGAACTGTTACAGAAATTGGAGAAGGAGCAGAGGGAAAGGTACGGCTCTTTTAATGATTTTTTAATACTAAACGAAATTTAATTATGTCTAGTTACTCAACGAAATGCAGGAAGAGATCGTTTCTTCACAACATGACTACGTCATCGGGCTCGCGTTGATGCACACGTTTAAACTGCTGCAGAAATTGGAGAAAAAGCAGAGGGACCGTTACGGCTTTATTCATGTTTTTTGTTTTAATAAAAGATGAAATTTACAGTACGGCCGATCTTGTGGCACCTAGATTTCACGTCCACTATAGAGCACATCCATTAGGGATCGCGTACAAGGACAATCGCTTGTACCAAGCCTAGGTATTGTTAACGCATATACGTGTGTCATGTCTCTAGACGACGACCAATGACCATATATTGTTACGCCAAAATTCGTATCTAATGTTGTAACGAATTAAATGCGTCTTATCCAGCCGCCAACTTTAGTGTTTTTGATATCAAGAAAAAAATTAGTAATTCTAGTGGGAATGCTTCAACGTTTACTCATGTCGCTGCAAGCTTCTAGTAGTGTCTATGATCGCCTTAAGCAAGTGTAAAGTCTAGTATTGTAATGTCCGTGCAATGCTGATAATGTTGTTCTCGTTTGTGCAGACTGTCAGCGCCGCCGCCGTGGCACTTATCACTGTGCGCGCGCGCAGGCGGCACGGAGCGAGAGCTGGCGCGGCAGGTGGCGGCGTGCCTGCGTGGCATGGCGGCGCGCGTGCCCCCCGCCCGCCTCGCGCCGCTGCCCGCGTTGCGACGCGCGCTCGGAGTCACACTCGCGCACCTCGGTACTGTAGGCACCGCCGCCCCCCCACATGTCTGTAAAGGCGCGCGTGCCCCCCGCCCGCCTCGTGCCGCTGCCCGCGTTGCGACGCGCGCTCGGAGTCACACTCGCGCACCTCGGTACTGTAGGCACCGCCGCCCCCCCACATGTCTGTAAAGGCGCGCGTGCCCCCCGCCCGCCTCGCGCCGCTGCCCGCGTTGCGACGCGCGCTCGGAGTCACACTCGTGCACCTCGGTACTGTAGGCACCGCCGCCCCCCCACGTCTGTAAAGGCACGCGTGCCCCCCGCCCGCCTCGTGCCGCTGCCCGCGTTGCGACGCGCGCTCGGAGTCACACTCGCGCACCTCGGTACTGTAGGCACCGCCGCCCCCCCACATGTCTGTAAAGGCGCGCGTGCCCCCCGCCCGCCTCGCGCCGCTGCCCGCGTTGCGACGCGCGCTCGGAGTCACACTCGCGCACCTCGGTACTGTAGGCACCGCCGCCCCCCCACATGTCTGTAAAGGCGCGCGTGCCCCCCGCCCGCCTCGTGCCGCTGCCCGCGTTGCGACGCGCGCTCGGAGTCACACTCGCGCACCTCGGTACTGTAGGCACCGCCGCCCCCCCACATGTCTGTAAAGGCGCGCGTGCCCCCCGCCCGCCTCGCGCCGCTGCCCGCGTTGCGACGCGCGCTCGGAGTCACACTCGTGCACCTCGGTACTGTAGGCACCGCCGCCCCCCCCACGTCTGTAAAGGCACGCGTGCCCCCCGCCCGCCTCGTGCCGCTGCCCGCGTTGCGACGCGCGCTCGGAGTCACACTCGCGCACCTCGGTACTGTAGGCACCGCCGCCCCCCCACATGTCTGTAAAGGCGCGCGTGCCCCCCGCCCGCCTCGCGCCGCTGCCCGCGTTGCGACGCGCGCTCGGAGTCACACTCGTGCACCTCGGTACTGTAGGCACCGCCGCCCCCCCACGTCTGTAAAGGCACGCGTGCCCCCCGCCCGCCTCGTGCCGCTGCCCGCGTTGCGACGCGCGCTCGGAGTCACACTCGCGCACCTCGGTACTGTAGGCACCGCCGCCCCCCCACATGTCTGTAAAGGCGCGGGCCCCCCGCCCGCCTCGCGCCGCAGCCCGCGTTGCAACGCGCGCTCGGAGTCACACTCGCGCACTTGTCTTGAAGAACATTACAAGTCCGAGATTCGTTTCCATTCGCCCGGACAGTGAAGGACACTGGCTCGATTCCAGCCTGATACAAGGGACGTCATCATCATCATCAACCTATTAATTTCCACACTGCTCCCCAGCAGCATAGGCCTTCCTATGGATGGAATAGGGAGATTGAGTCATGACCTACCACGCGGGCCGAGTGCGGATTGGCAGGTGCTAACGACTGCAGATGCAGCCGGGACCAACGGCTTAACGTGCCCTCTGAAGCACGGAGGAAATCAAGATAGAAAATTTTTGGTCAACCATCCAATGTGGGGCCGTTCATAAAATACGTTCGCATACAAGGGGGGGGGGGGGGGGGGTCTTGCTAAGTGTGACAAGGGGGGACGGGGGGTCTACGGCAACGTGACGTTCGTCGTTCATTAAAAAATTTTAAATTAGTATTTCTTTCAACTATTTTTCTTTCTCAATTTTCATCAAGATAGAAAATCATTTATTTCGTATTTAGTAAACATATAGACATTCAAACGTATATAGTTTTATTATACAATAAATTGTAACTTGATATATTTACTCATGTTTATTTTTCGACATTAGCGCATATTTATATATTTAAAATTTATTATAAAAACTAAATAAATAGAAAAAAATCCACGCGGACCTGGCAGCAGACGGGACTCGAACCCGCACCCTTCGCAATCCGGGCGAATGCACTGACCAATTATGCTACCGCGGCCCTCACGGACCGTGTCGAAATTCATCTAGCCATTCGATTTTTTTTAGTATTTTTGCTAGTTATATTTTCCTTAGATTTAAACATCAAGCAGTTACATGCTTTAAAATAATAAAAATTATAACTAAATAAATGTTTAAATTCTTAAAATTTGTGTACTATCAATTGAAATTAATCATACTTGGGGAGGGGGGGGGTCTCCGTTTTTGTGACGGAATATTTCAAGAGGGGTCACAGAAAGTGTGACACAGCGTGACAATAGGGGGGAGGGGGTCGGAAAAAGCTGATTTTAGCGTGACGTATTTTATGAACGGCCCCTGACCGACCACTGCGAAAGTTGCTTAACTTCAACAGTCGCAGCCGAACGCGCTAACCACATGCGCCATCGAGCTCCAAGGGACGACTGTTTTCTTTTTATAAAAATGAGAATCTTCTCTAATTATCAATACAAATTAACAAACTGTAACGTATGTAAAGTAACTGAAATTTTCTAAATTTGTGATAGACAGTGCCGCACTTTTGATATAAAAAAAAGTTTCATCTTTTGTTTTTACGAACTGATTAAAAAATTAGGCTTTTTTAAAGTATGCTTAAATTACACTTCGCGTAATAAAACAGTCGAAAAGCCAATAACATCTAAATATTTTTGGCTATCAAACTAATATTTTTTTACTTTTTATTTAAACAGATACACCGATGGCACTGGACGACTTCGAGTTGGAGCACGAGGCCCGTGATGTCATCTCCGACCCCGACTCCCGGTCCAGTCACGACAAATGAAAACATTATTATTATGACCTTTACAAAGAGAAATTGGAAAAAACAACTGTAAAATATCAAAGGTCAAGCTGGAATAGCCTTTAGAATCAGACCGTTAGATGCTGTGATGAAAATTATTACATCTGTTTCATAAAACAGAAATTCATTGTGATTGAATCGACAAAAGAAGCCATTCTGAATGAAGATTTGAATTTTTTGCAATTATTTTGAAAAAATATACTTTTCAATTTTAAAATGTATTTGCGTCCAGCTAAAACTGAAACCTTTATTTCTATGCATTTATGATTCGCCTATTAAATTAAACCGAATGTTCGCATTTGGTCCTTCCTGTTCGGATCGAGTTTAATATAATACAAGAATTGTAAGGCTCAATTACACTTGGCCGTTAGCCTGTATTCGGGTGCATGAAAGACATTACTCGAATTCGGGCACCCGAAGCAATATTTATTACACTGGGAGACAGTGTCGGGTAACCAAAACGGAAACTACATGAATACAGGAAAACTTCGGTTCATTTACTCTGTCGTTTAACCGAATTCTATTGGTTGGCAATTGTATTTGGGCTAACGACCAAGTGTAATTGAGCCAAAAATGGGGAAAAGTTGTATTACCATAATCTTGTAGAACTTTGTATAATTATATTTTTGGAAAATGTGAAAGATCTTGGTACTTAATTTTCATTGCAGGCGTCTTTACTGTATATATTATACAACCCTGTGGTCTATTTTTATATTGAATAAGACTAGAATAATTTTAAGTGATCATGTAAATTTATTAATACAACAATATAAATAAATACATGAATATAAAATAGACTTATCATTTTTCTCCTTTCACTAGCTAGTTCAATAAAAAATAGCTTGTGTATAGTGACATCTAGTTTATAAGGAAGCTTTCTATGCTTTAACATGCTACCGCTGGGTGGCGTAGTGCTTTACATACGACTAATTTGTCCTACTTTAGGTGAGATGGCGCTATAAGTAATTATATTATTACCATATTGGAAATTGAAAGTTTTGACTAGCCTTTAATTTGTATTTTTATTTAAAAAATATATTTATAACAAAGTTTAAAATTAAAATAAAAAAATGATGAGTTGTTTATGTTTTTCAATATTTAAAACAACAATTTGCTTTAATACAAATCAGGTTGCGATGGTACCATCAAAGCTGACTGACTGCGAGGGGTAGATAGAGTGCGAGGAGCACTGTAAGCACCAAAATTCCCATCAGGAAGCAGCAGCAATCTTTGTCTATTCTAAAAGCACCAAATTGCCTTTATGTGATCCTTGTCGAAGCGTTAATAAAAAATGATAACGTTACTTCTTCCATGATTGTCCAAAAATAAGTGTACGTAGTATGTGTGCATATGCGATCTGTATATCTTTATTCCATCATAACTTTTAATCATCCCTATGGATGGAGAATGAATGGGCTTTGATCCACCATGCGAATTTGTGGGTACTAACGACTAAAGCACAAAGAAACTCCAAATATTCAATCAAAAATCCAAATACAAAAAAATCCATCCATTGGTTTTAGGGTAGTCGGAGTGCACTCGAGGAAGAAACCGGAGTCAACATTTACCGATCATCATCCTCTGTAGTTCTCGTGTCGCTTTTACAAAAGGACATTGGCTAAACTTCTGTGGAAAACGGAATAAGCCACAGGCAAAAGAAAAAAAAACTCTAAATATTAAGTTTTTGGTCAACCCACAGGTCACCCGTCCAGTAAGCGGCCAATGCGAAAGTTGCTCATCTTCTACGTTCACAGACCGCAAGCGCTAACCACCTGCGTCATCAAGCTCCTCATAACTCATAATGCCTTGACCTGTGCCTTGAAAAACTTCGATATTTATTAAGGTAGGTATTCGTATAATCAAAATCCTTACATCGTCACGAGTTACATGAAAAGACTTACTTCCTAAGTAAAAAGTTAACCAAATTTAAAAAGCCGGACAAGTGCGAATCAAGCTCGTCCACCGAGGGTTCCGTACAAATTTGTAAGTATGCAACATAAACAGCCGTGTTGTTTTTTACTTTAACTTATAAGTTTTTTAATTTTTTCACAGCTTTAAGGGACTGTTGACCTGCGCCTGCGTATGTGGATTAAATTACAACTTGATGCCTCCACGCATTCCCGAGATAAAGTGTCGTGCCAGACAGACAGATAAACGGCCGTATCTTTTTCATTAGTTAATTTAGAAGTTTAATTTTAACACATCATTAAGGTACCACCCACCCGCCAATCCGCACTGGGCCCGCGTGGTGGGTCATGGCCCAATCTCCCTATTCCATCCATAGGGAAGGCCTGTGCCCCAGCAGTGGGGACATTAAGAGGTTGATGATGATGATGAAGGTACCACAAAGTTGAGTGTATGTTTTATATTTCAACTTAAGACCTTCACGCGTTCCCGAGATAAAATGCCTTGACAGATAAACAGTCGTATCTTATAAATTAATTAACTTAGAAGTTTCATTTTTTCACACAGCTTCAATGGACCACAGACCTGAGTATATGTTTTATAATTTCAACTAGATATCTTTACGAGTTTCTGAGTTAGTGGGTCTTGACAGACAGACGGACGACAAAGCTATCCTATAAGGATTCTATTTTTCACTTTTAAGGTACGGAACATTAAAAAGCTTCACGGAACGATCTCCTTACTGCAATAACTTTTTTTAATTTGTTTCTGACTTAGGTTTTAGAGTTCCAAAGCCAACGATGAACCATCCTCAATAATATTATTGAGGATGATACATATACATATCATTTCCATTGGTAGAATAAGTTTGTAATAACTGTAGTATATTTTGACATTCAACTTTCTTCATTTAACTATTTAATCAGCTTTCGTATAACAGAATACAAAAAACGAACGAAAAGATTTAGCTATAACAAATCCTAAAAATACCCCAGATAATAAAAATACGAGTTTAAATTAGACCAGTCAGTTCAATCGATCAATAACAATCAAATAGCTGACAACAGCAGCCAGCCGCGGTAATATCTCATCGAATCATCAATAACCCCTCAATATTACGAGCGTGTATAAAAAATGCAAATAACCGCGCTGTATTACTAGGGTCCCGCGTGGGAGCGCGTGCGCGGGCGCAATCACACGCGACCCGCACGCGCCGCGCTTTCATAGGGTGATCGCGATTTGTAGGGCAAATATCATTGCTCATAATGCTCTTTGAAGGTAACTATACTACTAACCTATTTGGTTCTGAAAAAATGTGATATTTTTTTACATTAGCATAGGCATGTACCATATTGCTAAAAGAAGAGAGGTTGAAATGTGCCTATAGAATAGAGATCTAGAGTAAATGTTTTACACTGATGACTGATTGAAGTTTTTATATATCATAATGTTGCATATTTATTATAATTTACACGCGTACCGTTATTTAAACACGTAAGTATCTACGATGTGACGTTTTGTTGAAGGTCTTGGGAAGACACTGGTTGCGAATAACTCAGGATGATAATGGAAGGTCTGCTACCCTTACAGAGAACATCGTACGGCTGATATGATGATGATGGTGAAATTAAGAAATAAATTGTATATATTTTTAAGAAAATATTTTTTTAATAAAGAAATTTGTAAGAAATATATTTTTCTAGTAAACTTTTCTTTAGAAATAAATTGTACTCTGTAGAAAGTACTTTTTGATTGCAAAATTAAAAGTTGAGTTAAGTTGCGGATACGAAAGTTCATATGAGTAGATTAAGTATATTACTCAAAGTCAGATCTTTAGTGTCTTAAAAAATCATCTATGAACTATTCGAACTTTAAGTTTTAGATAAGGTGCTGTCCGACGCCCTGTGT